CCGACTCTGGGGTTGCGGTGCCCATCTCCGTTTCAAAGCCAAAGAGCCAGCGCTGTCCGAAAACATTTCCGTGGTCATGTGGCCGGCATGACTAAACACCAAGGCGCACGGAACGCTGTTACCTTCCCACCGAAGTGGTACCTATTTATCTACTTGCAATTTCTTGCTTTCGAACTGCTAGGTTGGCAGGAGCTGGAACTAGAGACGGGAGCTCACTCCATCATGCGGCACACTCGGGTCTCGAACTGCTGAACTACTGACCTTCCACAGCCTGCAATTCAGCGTATTAACCACTTGAGCCACCGCAGCTTTTTGGAGAGAATACGTCTCTCCAAATATTAGCCCAACTTCATGATCAATTTGAATGTCATGATTTCCCTCCGGCCGCTGGAGAATACACACACATTTAGAATCCTAGAATCACAGAGCTGGAAGGGGCCCTACGGGCCATCTAGTCCAACCCCCCGCTCAATGCAGGATCAGCCTAGAGCATCCCTGACAAGGGTTTGTCCAGACGCTGCTTAGAGACTGCCAGAGAGGGGGAGCTCACCACCTCCCTAGGCAGCTGATTCCACTGTCGCACAACTCTTACTATAACAAAAATTGTTCCTAATATCCAGCTGGTACCTTCCCGCCCTTAATTTAAACCCATGATTGTGAGTCCTCTGCTTCCAACAGGAACAGCTCCCTGCCCTCCTCCAAGTGGCAGCCCTTCAAAGACTTCAAGAGAGCCATCCTGTCCCCCCCCCTCCACCTCCTCTTCTCCAGACTAAACATTACCAAGTCCCTCAGCCTTTCCTCTCAGGGCTTGGTCTCCGGGCCCCCGATCATCCTCCTTTTATCTGAGACTGGATCAGGTTCCCCCGGTTACTAACCTGACCCGCTGCCCCAGCCGGTTTTCACGAGGATCTCGTACTTGTAGAGCCCATTCTTCCCGCAGAACGGGATCACCCCCACTCGGTTAATGTCGATCAGATCCAGTTTGTGCACGATCAGGGCCGCCACGGAGTACGTCACGAAGCAGATGGCGCAGGTCAACAGAACTATGTAGTTCAGCCCCGGACCTGGAGGCTGAGCGAGAGAAAGGGACACGGAAAGATTATCCTGCCTTTCTTGCACCCATCGCCATCTCCGGGGGTGAGACTCCTCAGCTGGCCGAGAGCAAAGCAATCGCAGCGAGCGTACGAGATGCCCCAATGCCTTCCAGAGGAGCCCCCAAGTCCGGCCCTTTGAGAACACCCCGACTGCAACTCACGGGCCGTATGAACTGGACGGAGTGCGGCGGGACGAAGAGGCTGGCGCCGAAAGCCGTCAAGTGTTGGGTTAGGCACACAGCCTGGTTGGGGGTGGTCCCCTCCAAGGGAGCCATGCCTTCCGTCTTCCAGCGCTCCTCCTCTTCGCTGAAGTACTGGCACAGGGAGCTGTACAGGCCCAGCGTCACTTCCACCGGGGACCAGAGGAAATGGTTGGTGATGTTCAAGTAGTAGTCGCTCGCGGCGTCCTCCGTGCTGAGGGAGGGAGAGATCAAAGAGGTAAGGAGCAGGGATGATGGAGGGGTGGTTGGCGCAATGGACGAGGCTGGCGGGGCTCAAACCTTGCGCGTGGTTCCTAGAATACTAAGTGGCATCACTAACTCAGTGTAGGCAAAGCACAGAGGCTATGCCATCGACCCCCCCAGATTTTCTGGGGGGTAGTCTCATCCTGCAAGCAGTGTTCCCTCTAAGCTGAGTTAGTGCGAGCTAGCTCACAGTTTTTTTAGCCTCCGGCTCACACATTTTTGTCCTAGCTCAGGAAGGATGGGGCTCCAGAACAAACTAACTTATGCAGGAGCCAAATCGCTCGCTCACAACTTTAATGCCAGTAGCTCACAAAGTAGAATTTTTGCTCACAGGACTCCACAGTTTAGAGGGAACATTGCCTGCAAGTAGTTCACTGCTGCCTACGTAC